GACATAGGCTCAGGTCACGATCTCGCGGTCCGTGCGTTCAAGCCCCGCGTGGGGCTCTGTGCTGACAGCTCAGAGCCTGGAGCCTGTTTCAGGTTCTGTGTCTCCCTCTCTCTGACCCTCTCCCGTTCATGCTCTCTCTCTGTCTCAAAAATAAATAAACGTTAAAAAACAAAACAAAACAAAAATAAAAACGGTTAGTGTCATGCCATGTGAATTTCACTTCAATTACCAACACTTGTACAGGAATGTTCAAAGCAGCGTTATTCATCATAGCCCAAAAAGCAGAAACTCCTGGAGCCCATCAACTGATGAATAGATAAATAGAGTATGGTGTATCCATACAACGAAATATTACAGGGCAATAAAAAAGGATGGAGTACCGGGTAAATGCTACAACATGGATTAACCTTGAAACGTGTTAAATGAAAGTCGGTCACAAAAGACCACATAGTATAGAGTTCCACTTACATGACATGTCCACAATAGGTAAATCCATGGAGACACAAAATAGATCAGTAGACACCTAGTGTGGAGAAGTTAGAGGGAAATGGGGACCCAGAGAGGGACTGCTAAAGAGTAGAGGGAGGGGCAGAGTATGGCTTTTGTGCTGAAGAAAATGTTCTAACACTGATTGGAGCTATGGTCCCATTCTTCAGATATTAAAAAACACTGAATTGTACACTTTAAATAATTGAATTGGATGATATGTGAATTATATCTCAAGTTATTCCTTAAAAAAAAGTGCTGTCGTCTTTGTGTGACTGTACCTCCTGTGTGTCATGTGCCTGTCTTAATTGATTCATTTCCCTGAGACACTGGTGAAGTGTCCTCACTGACCTAAGGCACAGGCTCCATGATATGACAAGGGCACTGAGTGATAACAACCCTTGCCAACTTCCATCCAAAACTCAAAAAAGGCACAGATAATCTTAAATTTGTTTTCTGGGGGCGCCTGGGTGGCTCAGTCGGTTAAGTGTCTGACTTTGGTTGTCACGACATGTTTAGAGTTAAGTTTGTGAGTTCGAGCTCTGTGTGTTGACAGTCTGTGCTGACAGCTCAGAGCCTGGAGTCTGCTTCGGATTCTGTGTCTCCCTCTCTCTCTGCCCCTCCCCTGCTCGTGCTCTGTCTCTGTCTCTCAGAAATAAATGTAAAAAAAAAAAATGAATAAAACAAATTTTGTTTTTTAAGTTTATTTTGAGAGAGATAAGACACTGTGCAGGTGGGGGGTGGGGGTGCGCAGAGACACAGAGAGAGAGAGAGAGAGAGAGAGAGAGAATCCCAAGCAGGCTCTGTGCTGCCAGGGCAGAGCCTGATGCAGGGCTCAAACTTCTCAAACCATGAGATCATGACCGGAGCAGGAACCAAGAGGTAGACGCTTAACAAACTGAGCCATCTGGGCACCCCAAAAGGCACAGATAACCTTGACAAAAGACGGAGTTCTACATACTCAGAGGAAGAAAAGGGCAAAATACTGTTCAGTATTGTAGGGTGATGAGGTACCTGGTACCCGGCCGAAGCACCACAGCATTGCCTGTGTGGGGTCCCCACAGCCCAGGGCAGAGTCCTCAGCTTTGGGAGCCCTCCCAGTTTACGTGGCCAGTCAAATCACTTCTTGAGGGACACCTTTCCTGAGCTACAAGACTAAGTGGGCTTCTCATGTTATGTGCCCGCACAGCTGACATAGAGCCCGTCACATACTGGTGACATCCATTTATGTCTGCAATTGCTCTACTCATGTCTGGCTTTCTCCCCTGGAATATAACCTGTGTAGGGTTGGGAACCTGTCTGGTTCGTTATTGTGTTCCCAGCAACTAGAATGGTGCCTGGCAAATACACGGTACGGTACGCTATCGATCCTAATTTACCGTTGAGGAAAGGTACCATTGAGGAAAGGCTCTGGCTAATCAGACTCACGACAGATTGGCCAAAAAGTGGGAATATCAGCTTCTCTATAAATGAACTGAAATGGGGAAGAGCAACAGAACGTCTATGTTGGCTGGTCCCATTCTCCGTTCTCGTCTATAAGGAAATGTAAGTGGAAAGACAAAATCTAGTCAAGGAACCTTGACATTGGACAAGGGAATTAGCTACGTGTCCTCCAACGTTTGGTACCACACAGCTCTAAGAACAGAAGAACACAGTGCCTCTGTCCTCATTGTGAAAAGGCCAGTCTGTCTCCCCTTCAAAAAGAATCCTGGAAAGGGAGCCCGGGTGGCTCAGTTAGGCATTCAACTTTGGCTCAGGTCATGATCTCACAGATCGTGGGTTCGAGCCCTGCGTTGGGCTCTGTGTTGACAGCTCAGAGTCTAGAACCTGCTTTGCATCTGTCTGTCTGTCTGTCTCTGTCCCTCCTCAGCTCACTGTCTCTCTCAAAATAAATAAATATTTTTAAAAATCCTTTAAAAAAAAAAAAAGAATCCTGGAATAGTGATGATCTTGGATCAGAACTCCCCTGAAAATCATTGGAGAACCTCTCTGTCTTCTTTTTTTTTTTATGATTTACATACCAAGCAACCCCCTTTAGGTCACATAGAAATTTCTCTCTTGAGAACTGATTTGAATGCACTTGATCAGATTCTATCTTAAGATGGCATTTCTTTCCCACCTTCTGTGGTTACACCCACTCACCAAGATTAAAATTCAGATATTCGGGGAGAACTCTCCAGCTACCCATCTATAGATTTTCAATGCCTTTGGATACTGTCCTGGCAATCCATCGGATTCATTATTTCCTCATTTCTTTCTCAGAGGGTAAGAGTTTAGCGTTCTGCTGAGAAAGAAGTTTGCCAATAAGTTTGTATCTCTTCTGGTACACTTTCCAAACCTTCTATTTTGGAATAGCTTTTGCTATGCAGAAGAGTCGCAACAGTGGTATGAAAAATACTTTAAGGAATACCAGTGAGGTTTTGTGTGGTTTTTTTGTTTGTTTGTTTGAAGTTTTTAAATGCTTATTTATTTATTTTTAATGTTTATTATTGAGAGACAGAGGCAGACGGCGAGTGGGTCTGAGGCAGACAGAGAGAGGGAGACACAGAATTTGAAGCAGGCTCCAGGCTCCGGGCTGTTAGCACAGAGCCTGACACGGGCTCTCAAACTCACAAACTGTGAGATCATGACCTGAGCGGAAGTCGGACGCTTAACCCACTGGGCCCCCCGGGCACCGCAGCAGCAGTGAGGCTTTGGATGGGAACCAACAGAGCGGTGGAGGCTGCATGTGTAGGTTTGTAAGAAGCAATTGTGCACACCTCTTCCTAACAGCACATTCAATAATGTCTTCCTGGAAGCTTGAAATTGACCACAGTGGAAGTGTTTATGGCAGATGTTGTTTTCCATCTCCCAGAGCTGGTTGGTAACATTTAGCAGCACGCACTGATTGGGAAGGAGGTTCTGACATATAGAAAGTAGTGTTAGGTCAAGCTAGTCTAACACTAGGGGCGCTTGGGTGGCTCAGTCGGTTAAGCGTCTGACTTCGGCTCAGGTCGTGATCTCACGGTTGGTGAGTTCGAGCCCGGTGTCAGGCCTGCTTCGGATTTGGTGCACCTCCCCTGCTGGTGCTCTGTCTCTCAAAAAAATAAATAAATAAATTTTTTTAAAAAATAAAGGATTCCAGGATTCTGAGAGTCTTGGGAAGCCGTCAGAGCGATGGGGTGTGCAAGCCAGTCAGAAGCAGAGCTGGACTTCGGAAGGTGGGTAGGACTGGGGTTGAGGACAAGGCCGCTGTTTTTAGTAGCACTGACCCTCACAGACAGGAAAGGGGCTCCAGGCATATCAAGAGGAATGGTTTTACATGATAACAAAGATTCTGTCAAGTTTTCTTTATCATGAAAATACAAGTCTTTGTGGAAACATTTGGGAAAATCAGAAAAGAAAGAAAAACAAAAACATAACCCCCAGGACCCAGAGGCAGCAACTATTAATGTTTTACCGTATTTGCCTGCAAACTTTTTTCTATGCCTTTTAAAAGATACATCTGAAACACAATACTGGGGGAAAAAAAAAAAAGATACATCTGAGGGGGGGGGCCTTCAGGTCACGATTTCGTGGTCTGTGAGTTCGAGCCCCGCCATCAGGCTCTGGGCTGATGGCTCGGAGCCTGGAGCCTGCTTTGGATTCTGTGTTTCCTTCTAACCCTCCCCAGCCTCGGTCTCCCTCCCCTCAAAAATAAAGAAACATAAACAAAATTTTATTTTACATATCTGCATCTGTTAGGTGCCAGATACTGGAGACACAGGGGTGGTGACCTTAGCAGTATGGCCCCTTCCCCACAGCTGGGAGGGGGGAAAACAATCGATTGTCAACAAAATATATAACACGTAAGGAGCGTTCAGGCCACCTGTCTACCACCAGTGAGTGATGGGCTTATGAACGGCAGTTACGAGAGTCAGAGGAGCTCCTCAGAAGAAGATACCACAGGGATCTTTGTGACTTTGACCTCGCCTCTTTGGAAGCTGAGAAGGAGAGAGTGGAGGTGCGGAAGACGGAGGCAGGACTGGTTCTGGGCCCGGAGGAGAAGCCCTACCCAAAAGCCCTCCTCATCCCCCATTCTCAGAGGCCTTGCTGAACCTGGGTGCCAGAGAGAGAAGTTGGAAAATGTCGTAGACGTGGGACCAAATGCGGGGAACGTGGGGGCTGAGTGAGCGCCAGGACCGGGCCGAACCCAGCCCAGAAGCCGGTCTTTTGGCAACGGAGAAGCCAGAGCCGAGGAACGTGAGGGAAGCCGGCCCTCAGCAGGATGAGGGAAGGTCTACAAGTTCTGGGGACAGCGGATAAAGAAAGCTTAGCTGGGTACCCACGCTTCTTGGCGTCGATAGACCAGCTTCTTGGCTGGTCTAGACCCATGAAAAGGATATCTCAAGATGTGAGAGAGGAGGTGAGCGGGCGATGACATCCGTGTTCAGAGAAGAAAGGTCCAAGGGCAGACGGGGGCCTCACCTCCGACAGGGACTCGCGCGCTGAGCTCGCGTCCCAGGCCTGTTCACCTGCCCCCAACCCCGATGCCAATCCCGTTCCCGGCTACCCTCTCGCCTCCTGGCCAGAGCCGGGATCTGGCTCCGCCTCCTGCCCCTGCCGGGCTGACTTCGACGGCATCGGCATCTCGCCTGCTTCACCACCCCCGTGCTCACCTCTGCCCAGCACCTGTCCCACAGAGCGCGTGGCCGTCTAGCCCGCCGGACTGCGACAGCCGGGTCTGGCATGTGGTGGGTTGTGAATCCCTTCTCCCTCCCGGGCTGCCTCCTCTCCTGTTCAGGATGTGCAACCCAGCCTAGAATACCAGATTCTTGGGGCGCCTGGGGAGCTCAGTTGCTTGAGCATCCGACTCTTGATTTCAGCTCAGGGTTCGTGGGTTCGAGCTCCACATCGGGCTCTGTGCTGACGGTGCGGAACCTGCTTGGGATTCTCTC